ATAAATAAAACTGAATTCTGTGAGGTGCTTAGGTATTACAGAAGTGGCAGGCTTTATAAAAGTATACAGAGCCTAAGCTGCTTCTAAACTCCTGCCTAGTGATTGTGTTCCACAACTTACATGCCAAGCACCACTGAGATGAAAATATTCAGCTGTTTGGCAAATCGTGTGTAGGCCCAGAGCAAGTTTTCCAGGAGCTAAATCTCAGCGGGAGAAAATATTTGCAAGGCCAAATAGGAGGCAAATGAAGTGTCAGCACAGTAAATCATGCTTTTAAAGCCCCTGACAGATTCAGTGAATTCAGTTGCTCACACCAGTGCTGCTGGGCACGGACAGGATCAACCCCAGGTCCTTGGTAGGAAGTGAGGCGAGGCACTGTCCTGCATCCCACAAGTGTGTCAGACACACCAGAATGAGCCATGGCCATTCCCTGCCCCAAGAAAGAAACCAAAGGGAAAGACTGGTATTTGCCCAAGAAGAAAAGGTCAAAAGCCTATGGAATAATTATTTTAAGGACACAAAGAAGCATTTATAAAGAGAAATAACTGTGACTGCCACAAGTCTTGCCAAAAGTCAGCTTAGACCTGCTGAAATCCAAATGACCACAAATGGCATATGCAGCTGTGAGAGTCTCTGCCTGCCTCTACTAGGGCTAGCCTGTACACAGCCACTTTTTAAAAAGCCTGTTTCCCCTTATGAATAGGCATGATCTGCTTATTAAGACAAGAAGCATTTTCCCTCGTCCCTCCCTCCCTCCCTTTGTGGTGACTGCAGCGTAGCTGCCTGAGCGCAGGGCTGGTAAGTTATGCATGCTGGAGCTGTTCTTTTGTGAAGGGGAGATGTTACAACTTGTGTGATTTGCCATTATGCTGTCTTTTGTGACAACCCTGAGATCGAAAGAAATGTCTGGAATATTTCTGGCAAAAAAAAGAAAAAAAGAAAAAAAAAAGAAAAAAAGAAAAAAAAAAAGAAAATCTGAAGTCCAAGAAAGGATTCAGGGGAGGATGTTGGTATGCTTTACATCTGAGAGAAGAAAGACAAATCATACGTATCAGTGCCTCCACCCCCAAAGCAAACCCATCTTTATAGGCATACAGGGATTTTATAAATCCCCAAGTCCCCTTTTTTGCAAATTTACTGCAAAACGACCATCAAGGTTTCTGAGTAGGAGAAAAAAATCTTCTCTAATATCCAATTAACAAGTGTGTGACCTGGATATCGGGCAAAGACAACTTTGCCTAAAACATGCATTTACAACAGAACCTGAAAGCAAAGTTAAATTCTTCATATCAAACACTGAATTTCTGGATTCCCACTTAGTGCTTGCTCAGGAAAAGTGTGATTTTTTTGAAAATTATTTTTCAGTATATCTTGGTTTCAGACATACTGAATATTTTACATTTACATATTACATACTGTAATATTTTACAGTTTACAAAGACAATACTGTCATGTATGTTCGATAAAAGAAAAATCCACTGTTCTCTAAAAGCCCCAAGAAAAATGTCTTTGACAATTAAAGACATACAATATGAATGCATTTCACCTCTGAAGTGAAGTGTATAGAAATGTACTTTGATTTAGGTCTTATCTTCTTACAGTGACAGTTTGAGTCTCTCCATATACTACTGAAATTCCAACAGTTATTATTATTATGATAAGAATAATGATTGTCTACATGTAAGACGCTAGGGGTAAAAGACATTGGAAGTGAATTTGTTTACAGCACAACTAACCTTATGTTAAAAACACATGAACAAGTTTTGTAGGTCAAATAATCCACCATACAAAAAGCTAAATTATCAGAGTTTGTGCTAGCAATCGGATGTTGCTTTATGTACTGAATTTCTATCTTTCTGTTCTAAAGTAACCATTGGAATAATTTTCTTACAGAATGATAGTTGCTATGACAACCATAGCAAATTTTCCTTTTCTGAAACAGATGTCTCATTTAGTTGAAAATTAGAATGTGAAAAACCCATGGGAAAAATTAATTCAAACTTTAACAGAACACTGACTACAATGTAATCTCTTATAGGTTAACCCCTTAACATCTTTCTGCACTCTTAGAGTAACCTTCTCATAACTTCTCATTAAACCAGTTTAACCTCCTAGGAATGACCTTCTTAGCCATCATTAGAGATTTAGTTGTCTTTCAAAGGAGCATTTCTGTTACAATAATAACAGAAAAAAGTCATGCTAAAAAAAAGTGGTCAAACACATTACTGCCTTAATTATTTGGGCAAACACATTACTGCCTTAATTATTTATTAGTTTTTCTTCTTTTTTTTCAGCTGTTACTGGAAAGGGCTACCATGTAGTCTAAGGATTCTCTTGTCATTTAAAATGAGGCATAACTTATTCTTACATGTGATTTACTGTACAGAGCAGTGATGCACTATACAGATTTGACCTGTAATTTACGTGAAAATTGAAGGGTTTCAATTTTCAAACCACTGGTACCCATTTTAATCTGCTCAGCAGACTTACAAAAAGGGGACACAAAAAGGGACACTTGCGTGGGGAAAACTATCAATGTGCATGGATTTTTCTATTACAAGCAATGAAAAATTGAAATCTGATTCTCCATTACTTTGATTCAATGTAAATGTTTTAACTTGAAGAATGGATCCCTTCCTCCCTGTACACTTAAAGGGGACCTTCCATAGTACCTGGTCATCAGCTACAAATGAACACAACAGGTAGCCAGTGAGCAGTTGAAGAAGTATCCCCACCACGGCACTGCCTGTAGTGCTTGTGGGGTGTTAGCTACCACAAGAACTTCAAGACTGCAAGATTTACTGCAGCAGCTACATCTAGGCTGTCCAGTTAAGTAAGACAAATCTTGCCACCAGTAGGCACGCAATTACCCTCTTTGACTTCAAGGGAAAACTCCCTTCCATAGCCCAGTCCCCTCAGAGAGCTGGGTGGTAACTGAATGGCTATTAGCGTATCAAAGGGGTTGGTGGGCAGCATCTTGCAAACACCTTAGTAGAAAAAATGCAAAACTAAAACACAATGCACAGATCAT